ACATTACAAAAGCACCAGCATAAATGCAATTGTAAAGGAATCCCCCGAATATCCGGGAGGGAATTGGTGTTCAACAACCAATGTTTGGCGACTAAAGGGATCGGGTGGTCAAGCTCGGTGACTTGGTTGATACATGTCTTCGTATCCCGAATGAGAAGATTGATGCTCATGATGTCAGTCACAGGAATCGCTTCTCCAAACTCAATTATTTACATACCGGAATAACTGCAAACACTTTATATCAGGGCATCTGTCGAAGTGAACAAATACATGTTGAGCGTTTCAGTCAAGAGAATGAAGCGGGAAACAAGGAAACTGTCAGTATGAGGAAGAGAGGAGGCAGGGAAAAGTGTGTACACAGTTGACAAATAGTGAATAGGAATGCATAATGGAAGTCATAAATAAATAAAGACGGGGTGGGTTTTGCTATCATATATGATACAATACAGGTCTTTATGACTGACGTTTTGCAATTTCGAAACAGTACAAAACAGTTGTAAGTACTAAATCTTGACAAAAGATTAACTTTGCTGTTTTTGTGTGTGATAAGCGAAACTCAATATCCTGCAAACCGGGGAGGTATGTTTAAAGCATAAGTGAGGTTTCGACATCATATGTTATAAGTACACAATGTATCGACACCATCAATTTGGGCCGGTGAACTACAACCAGACGTGTTGTTCAAGATTCAGATTAACGACCATGATATTACTGACTTGGTAATGATTATCTCAACCAATTCATTGTTATATTATGTGTATTACTCAAACGTACTTGCGGTAGTGATCCTCTGCACATTCCATACCACTAAGCGCGATAAACCCCTTTGCGTAATTAAATGGAGGGAAATTACATCTATTTTGTTAGGGTGCAGATATACTTCTTTGAAACTTAATTTATTCAAAGTACCTAATTGTTTGAATATGTGTCGAGAGTGCCTCGAAACTCTGTCTAGTTTGTCTGCTAATACTTTCGTCAGCAAACATTTGGTGCATATCCTCTTGTCATACCACGTTGTCCACTCACGCACTATCAGTACCATAGTGTGTAAATGGGTACATATAAGTTCCACTTTACATATAGCTTCACCAAAAACACATGGCATCGTGTGTAAATGGGTAAATATAGCTTCACCAAAAACACATGGCATCGTGTGTAAATGGGTACATATAGCTTCACCAAAAACACATGGCATCGTGTGTAAATGGGTACATATAGTTTCACCACAAACACATGGCATCGTGTGTAAATGGGTACATATAGTTTCACAACAGGCGCATGGCATCATGTGTAAATATGTACATATAACTTCACCACAAACAGATGACATCGTGTGTAAATGGGTACATATAGCTTCACAAAAGGCGCATGGCATCTTGGTAAATATGTACATATAACTTCACCACAAACAGATGACATCGTGTGTAAATAGGTACATGTAGCTTCACCACAAACATATGGCATCTTATCTTACCTCACACATACATGTCTTTTTCTGATTGGCTGAAGCCAATCAATGTACCCCGCTTACAAGCGAGTAACATTTTCTCTGTTACCCGCTGGAAATGCCGAACTGTGAGAATTCGTTTGCTACTTCGTGTTAGTAGTGTTTGGGCTGTTGCCTAACTCCGGTACTCCTCATTATGATCCAATACGCGTGCTTTAAACAGTTCAAAATTAACATTGAGGTGTTCGGTAAGATAAATACGTTGTTCACTGGCCCCTCGGGGCCCATGGGTTGATGTACCCTAGATGTTTTGTTTATGTTCCCCTCGCCCTCCCAAACATAGAGGGTACATCAACCCATGTCCCCTAGTGACCAGGAAACAACTTATTATAAAGCTTCACCACAAACATATGGCATCATGTGGAACTGGGTACATAGGTTTATTCCTATGTACCGCCACTATCAGAATGACTTTGGTTAAATAAATATATGCACTAACTACAAAGTAATGTTATCATCAGGAAATCCGTGATCTGTTGCACTTCCCTGGCTTGTCTCCAGTGTTGAATAGTGTTGCTTTGTTTTCGCTAATTACGTCTAATCAGAATGTAGTTTTGTTTAACGGTGGTATTCTAGCCATCACCATACATACAGACAGACTGTCCGGAACACACAGATACAGCTTTTAAAGCATACTGTCTTAAACATTAATCACATCACGACAGATTTCATTTTGGGTTCTTAGTTTTACCTGGCAGTACTCCAGCTAGTTGACATCTGTCTGTAAACAAACGGGTTTGGACCAGACAATCCGATTGACACCAGCAGCCGTGTGGATACAGTCATCCAAGTCAGCTAGGCAAACTACTCCGTAGTGACCTTTTCACAAGACATATTCATCGTATCTAAACATCAAAAGAGGAATTCTGAAACTCTATATAATATGAAGACTTAGACCTTTGACAGGATAAAATCAGTCAGCGCAAGACATTCATGATCGAAGAAGATAAGACACGTTTTTGAAACGGCAACGCATAGAGTCTGTATGCCATCCATAAGGCATATCGGGAGAAAGAAACGGATCAAATTCGATCATAAAACGTAATTTGTGACGAAAACTTTAAAGTGACCTGACACTGACATACGCATAAATTCAATCTGCTGGGTATTTCTTTGTTTTTGTAACGCAACTCAGGTATATGTGTTTCTTATTTTCATTTTTTATCACCTGAGCCCGAGTGCTACGTCAACGTATATAATACAGCTGCATTGTATGTGGATTAACAGCAGTTTGTATCTCCAGCAGTGGATGGCAGTGTCAATATTATTTGAACGACGTTGGTAAACGTCATCATGTAGGTGACGTAATTACCCATTTCGTCAACACAGTCAACACAAAGAAACAAATGTGTGAAAAACCTAACTGACAGTTGCGACATGGGAAACGGATGTGACCTTCACTTACAATAGTATTGTGTCCATACGCTGTTTTTGAAGTTCTGTAAATTTTGGTAAAGTTTTTTGGTAAAATATCTAGCTATAACCTGCCGGACAAACACAGTGTACACTCACTTTTTATAGTTGCTAAATATGAACTCAACAAGAGAATGTTATCGATGTATTTCAATTAGGTATAATAGTTGTGTTAAGGGCAGTTTGCAGTGTTTTGGCGCTGTCTTACACGTTTATAGCATTTAAATAACGTTTGTAATGTTCTGGTTGAATCCAATTTTCAAGCAAAATGTTTCTTTTGCCCGGTAACGCTATTTGAACTGTTTATATGGAGTGGGCTATTGCTACCAAATGTTGTTTTGTATATATGTAGGTTTATTTGTCCAAGTAGTGGTTCTATTGTTTCCTGTCTAGACAGTGATCTAGATAATAGTGAAAATGGCAACATCTACAATTGTAATGTTGTCTGAAATACCTCCGGGATTAGTTTAAGTATCAATACCAGAAATAAATCACTGTTCATCTGGACGTTTGTAATAAATAGGCAGACAAACAGATGACAAGATTGATATCCAGTCCGATTTAAATAGGATACTTTGTAAATGACATAGATTGGTTTCTGTGTTTCGTTTGGATTGGATTGATAGATGGATTGGGACATGCAAATAATATACAGAAATAATGGTAAATAAAGTGGCGTTACATAGTCTGTGATAGATTTAAAGTATCGTGAAAACTGCATTTATGTATGTATGTATGTTTGTGTGTGTGTGTGCGTGCGTGCGTGCGTGCGTGCGTGCGTGCGTGCTTGAGACTGTGTTTGTGTGTGTGTCTGTTTCTGTCTGTCTGTTTCAACTAGTCAGGACTAATGCCAGTTAATAACAGAGAATATGTTTATGCGATACAATCCCTGTACATACAAACACACATACAATATTTTCATCACCCAGTGTTTATACCGACATGCAAAATAAGCTTTGGATTCCATATTGTGAATCTTGCCCAAGTAGCACGGAACGTACAAATGCACCTAACGTACAGCGGGGATATTTTTGTAGGATGAAGATGGAAATGTTTACAACAGCAACCAGGAAGATGCTGTTAGGTGTAGCCTTCCTCAGTAGTGACATGTCTGTAGAGATAATTGGCAGCATACGTACCTAGTTGATATATCTGCTCATCAGTCATGCACGTGCTACAAACAAACACCCAACACGTGCGATATATGCATTTAAGTGCCTGGAACCGTTACCAGTAAGACCTTGAGAGATGCAGAGATACGAAAGGAATGTTATCCCCGAATCCATGTACCGTTATTGGTTCACACGACAAGCAAAAGCAATCAACATATACAAATCCTTCAGCTTTTATTGACCGTAGTAACATAAAGACCTAACAAATATTTGATTAGTTTCAAAACAATTATTGAAACTATATGAATGTTCATCATTCTGTTCCTTCTCTTTATGTCATGTTTATCTTTTTAAAGCATGTCCTGTCTTAACGTTTTGACGTCTTCCGTGTTATCTTAGTCCAAATTATTATGGAATCATGCGTTGGACTTTCTGTAGATAAACAGTCCTTCAAGCCAATGTCCATTTTGCGTACAGAGCTCTTGTTATCGGGCTCTGGGGTTAGACCATAGGGAATCAATCAGAAACACCGTAATTTGTTATCTCAAGCTTCTATTACGGAAATATTTATTGTGAAACTGTATTGATGTTGGCAAGAACATGATAATGAAATACTACCTAGGCATTATAACATGATACTGAGTATAATACGCTGTTTCAGACGCATGTTCCAAATAACGACCAACTGCATTATTTAAGGCATCATAAAAAGATAATATCTTTACCAATGATTGGATGATTGAATCGTTTCGTGAAATGACCATGATAAATATTCCTTTATTGGATTGCACTGGAGGAAGTTGACTCTTTGTGCCACCATGACAGCTGATCGAACAGATCAATAGATCATGTCATTTTTATCAACACTGGATCGTAGGATATCGCCAGGATGGATAAGGACAGCAGTGAAACAGTGTCTTTTCCTTGCACACGTAGTATCAGCACGAGTTAATAAATAAGTGGGAAAGTGAGTTTAGTCTTACGCCGCACTCAGCAATATTCCAGCTGTATGGCTGCGGTCTGTAAATAATCGAGTCCAATCCAGTGATTAACAGCATGAACATCGATCTACGCAATTGAGAACCGATCACATGTGTCAACCAAGTCAGCAAGCCTGACCACTAGATCCCGTTAGTCGCCTCTTACGACAAGCATGTGTTACTGAAGATCAATTCTACCCCGGATCTTCACGGGTCTTTATAGAAAAGGGGCGGTGGAGTAGCCTTGAGACTAACGCCTTCTCTGGTCACGCCTAAGACCTGATTCCAAGAGATTTAGCATTTGTGCAGTTCATGACATAACCAGCACCTTGACTTGCAAGTATCCGATTCCTACCCAGATCTTACAATGTGTTGTGGCCCATCCTCTTTAATAATAGATCACTTGACTAACACTTAGTCTCAAATATTATCTGTTATGTATATCCCCCACCAAAATCCAAATGGATCTCTGAATAATGCAGGGTTTCAGAGCTTCCAAAGAACTTTACACTTGAGCAGGATTACCTTTTATTTTTGGAGGTATTAGAGAGGGGTTACTGGAGAGCCCAAACGTACAAGTTGGATTGAAGAATCCATTTATCAATTGGTTATATCACTTTAATTTGATCAAAATTAGTTCCACGTGGTCATAATATGGTGACATTCCAACTTTGTTTTTCACGATCATGTTTTGACGGACGTCCTGTCGATTTGATTCATTTCCCTTGCCAGAAAATATGAAACACGCATTTAAGACGAAAAATACACGTACTATTTTCGTATGTTTGATCTGGCAAAAGCTAATTTCAAAAGTGGCATTTGTGAGGATGCAATATGAAACTATTTGGGGATTAAAGATGCAGTCACAGTTGGTTAAAAGTACTTCATCACCGTGGATGAAATTCATCTTTTCTATTAAGGTTACACAGCATAAATACAGCCTCAATCATCAGGCAATATTCCTTGAGCTGGAAGTGTAAACATGCAAAGTCTCATTATCGAAAAAGATATGGTTGTATGGAGCATGGGAAAGCAATCATTTTAACACTCCTCATCCTCCTACTCATCATCATCATCTTCATCGGCGTCGTCGTCGTTGTCATCGTTCAACTTAGTCAAATGATGAGTAACATGAACACATCATAGAATGAATTCTTTGTAAAAAGCGTGAGATGGGACACATGTGTCTTCAGATCGGGAATAAACTCTCAGAGAAAAAGAGCATTGGAGCATTCTGTTAAAAGTTGACACGTTAACACGTGTTTTCATCTGAATTACTGGAGGAAGGTCAACACTACTGACACATTTATGGATAAGAATTGCTGAGTGCATACATGACAAGACAGCAGTACAAGAATCTGGAAGGAAGCGTCGCACTCACAAAATGAATGAAGTTGTTATCCATAAATGTGTCAGTGTCGAACTTCCCAACTTCAGAAAAACCACTCAAAGAAATTACAAAGTCAGCATGGTTATTATAAGGGTTACGTCCTGCAAAATATGAAATAATATGGTGAACCATTTGTCCTGTTTGAATTATGTCCTTAGTAGATACCCAATTAATGCTGAAATGAACACCTGTTGATGAATGTTACAAGTCATGTGACTGAGAAACTGTGGACATGTTCTACTGGTCACGAGACGACGACAATGTTGACATGTGCTTCACGGCATTTGTAGAAGAAGATGTGGACACGTGCTGCATGTCATGTGATTATGGAATTGTTGGGTCGTTCTGCATGTCAGGTGTCTCATGACGTCTTGACGGGTGCTGCATGTCGTGATTATGAAACTGTTGACAAGTGTAGAATAAGAAACTGTTGACACGTGCTTCTTGACACGTGTGGATGAAGATGTTGGCACGTGACTATGAACCTGTTAAAACGTGCTGCAAGTCATCAGTGTCATACTATGTTGATACTTGCAGACTAAGAAAGTGTCATGCCACGAAGAAGGTGTTGGTACGTGCTGCACTACATGTTTCTATGAAACTATTGACACATAATGCCAAGTTCACTTGACTGTGGAAGTGTTGACACATGCTGCAGTATGGGAGGTTTCATTACCTGTCACGAGACAACATCACGTTAATGAGGCAATCAAGCCGATAACTTCACCGAAAGTAGGAGTTTGAACAGCGGAAACTATTCGAGAGATTTCTACAGGAAGTCTGGCACTTGAGACTGTTTGTTCCTGTCCCCACTAAGTGAAGCAAGCATATCACTCAACACTATCGTTTGCAAGTTGCATGGCCTTGACAGCCTGATTGCATATTTTACTCTTGGTTCAATTCATGAAAAATACACATCTGATATGAATAATTGGACATGCGGCACATGCCATCACGTGTAAATGGGTACATATATAGCTTCCGCCACACACAATTGGTATCATGTGTAAATTGGTAGATATAGCTTCCACCACAAACACATGGTATCATGTGTATTTGGGTACATATAGCTATATTCCAATTTAACATCAGTATCAGAATGACCATTGGTTAAAGATATATGCACTAACTACAAAATGTTATCTTCAGAAAATCCGTGATCGGTTACACTTTCCTGGCTTGTCTCCAGTGTTGGATAATGTTGCTTGTTTTTGCTAAGTACGTGTAATCAGAATGGGCCAAAAGAGGACAGGGAATGCAAGGGTACCTCCAGCGTCTGTCCTGAAAGGTATCTGAAGCATGTTTCTGTTGCTTTGTTTAACCGTGGCATTCTAGCCATCACCATACATACAGACAGACAGACTGACCAGAAGACACAAACACAGCTTCTAAAAGCATACTGCCTTATGTATTAATCGCATCGCGACTCATTTCATTTTGGGGTTCGTAGTTTTCACCTGGCAGAACTCCAGCTGTGTGACGGCTGTTTGTAAACAAACGAGTCTGGACCAGACAATCCGATTGACACCAGGAGCCGTGTGGATACAGTCATCCACGTCAGCTAGCCAGACTACTCCTTAGTGGCCTTTTCACAAGACATTTTCATCGAATAAAAACAACAATTTATGAATTCTGAAACTCTATATAACATAAAGGCTTAGACTTTTGGAAGGATGCAATCATTCAGAGCAAGACATGCATCATCGTTACAAAATAAGACATGTTTTCAGACGGCAACGCCTAGATTCTGTGTGTGTTTTTTGTATGCCGTACAAAACGCAAATCTGGAGAAAGAAACGGATCAAATTCGATCATAAAATGTAATTTGTGACGAAAGCTCTAAAATGACTTGCCACTGACATTAATTCAATCTGCTGCTTCTTACTTTCTTTTTGTAACGACACTCAGGTACGTGTGTTTCTTTATTTCATTTTTTTAATCACCTGAGCCGAGTGCTACGTCAACGTATATAATACAGCTGCATTGTATGTGGATTTACAGCAGTTTGTATCTCCAGCAGTGGATGGCAGTGTCAATATTATTTGAACGACGTTGGTAAACGTCATCATGTAGGTGACGTAATTACCCATTTCGTCAACACAGTCAACACAAAGAAACAAATGTGTGAAAAACCTAACTGACAGTTGCGACATGGTAAACGGATGTGACCTTCACTTACAGTAGTATTGTGTCCATACGCTGTTTTTGAAGGTCTGTAAAGTTAAACTTTGGTAGATAATCCAGCTATAACCTGCCGGACGAACATAGTGTACACTCACTTTTTATAGTTGCTAAATATCAACTCAACAAGAGAATGTTATCGATGTATTTCAATTAGGTATGGTAGTTGTGTTAAGGGCAGTTTGCAGTGTTTTGGCGCTGTCTTACACGTTTATAGCATTTAATAACGTTTGTAATGTTCTGGTTGAATCCAATTTTCAAGCAGAAAGTTTCTTTTGCCCGGTAACGCTATTTGAACTGTTTATATGGAGTGGGCTATTGCTACCAAATGTTGTTTTGTATATATGTAAGTTTATTTGTCCAAGTAGTGGTTGTATTGTTTCCTGTCTAGACAGTGATCTAGATAATAGTGAAAACGGCAACATCTACAATTGTAATGTTGTCTGAAATACCTCCGGGATTAGTTTAAGTATCAAAACCAGAAATAAATCACTGTTCATCTGGACGTTTGTAATAAATAGGCAGACAAACAGATGATAAGATTGATATCCAGTCTGATTTAAATAGGGTACTTTGTAAATGACACAGATTGGTTTCTGTGTTTCGTTTGGATTGGATTGATAGATGGATTGGGACATGCAAATAATATACAGAAATAATGGCAAATAAAATGGCGTTACAAAGTCTGTGATAGATTTAAAGTATCGTGAAAACTGCATTTATGTATGTATGTATGTTTGTATATGTGCGTGCGGTCGTGCATGCGTGCGTGTGTGCGTGCTTGAGACTTTGTTTGTGTGTGTGTCTGTTTCTGTCATTCTGTTTCAACTAGTCAAGACTTATGCCAGTTAATAACAGAGAATATGTTTATGTGATACAATCCCTGTACATACAAACACACATACAATATTTTCATCACCCAGTGTTTATACCGACATGCAAAATAAGCTTTGGGATTCCATATTGTGAATCTTGCCCAAGTAGCACGGAACGTACAAATGCACCTTACATACAGCGGGGATATTTTTGTAGGATGAAGATGGAAATGTTTACAACAGCAACCAGGATGATTCTGTTAGGTGTAGCCTTCCTCAGTAGTGACATGTCTGTAGAGATAATTGGCAGCATACGTACCTAGTTGATATATCTGCTCATCAGTCATGCACGTGCTACAAACAAACACGCAGCACGTGCGATATATGCATTTAAGTGCCTGGAACCGTTACCAGTATGACCTTGAGAGATGCAGAGATACGAAAGGAATGTTATCCTCCGAATCCATGTACCGTTATTGGTTCACACGACGAGCAAAAGCAATCAACATATACAAATCCTTCAGCTTTTATTGACCGTAGTAACATAAAGACCTAACAAATATTTGATTAGTTTCAAAACAATTATTGAAACTATATGAATGTTCATCATTCTGTTCCTTCCTGTCATATTTTTCTTCTTAAAGCATGTCCTGTCTTAACGTTTTGCCGTCTTCGGTCTGTGTTATCTTAGTCCAAATAATTATGGAAGCATGCATTAGACTTTCTGTAGATAAACAGTCCTTCAAGCCAATGTCCATTTTGTGTACAGAGCTCTTGTTATCGGGCTGTGGGGTAAGACCACAGGGAATCAATCAGAAACACCGTTATTTGTTATCTCAAGCTTCTATTACGGAAATATTTATTGTGAAACTGTATTGATGTTGGCAAGAACGTGATAAATGAAATACAACCTAGGCATTCGACATCATTAAATGATACTGAGTATAATACGCTGTTACAAACGTATGTTCCAAATAACGACCAATTGCATTATTTAAGGCACCATAAAAAGATAATATCTTTGAGAATGATTGGATGATTGAATTGTTTGGTGAAATGATGATGATAAATATTCCTTTATTGGATTGTACTGGAGGAGGTTGAGTCTTAGAGCCATGATGACAGCTGATCGAAAAGATCAATAGATCATGTCATTTCTATCAACACTGGGTCGTTGGATATCGCCAGGATGGATAACGACACCCGTGAAACAGTGACTTTTCTTTGCAATTGTTTGTGAGTTTGTTAACAGGAGGCGCGCACACCTAGTATCAGCACGAGATAAGTGAGTGTGGCACTCAGCAGTATTCCACATGTATGGCGGCGTTCTGTCAATAATCGACTCTGCGCCAGACAATCCAGTGATCAACAGCATGAGCATCGATCTACGCAATTGGGAACCGCTGACATGTGTCAAACAAGTCAGCTAGCCTGACCACCAGATCCCGTTAGTCGCCTCTTACGACAAGCATTGGTTACTGAAGATCATTTCTAACCCGGATCTTCACGGGTGTTAATATATAAGAGGTGGTGGAGTAGCCTTGTGGTTAACGAGTTCGCTGGTCACACCGAAGTTCCAGAGATTTAGCATTTGCACAGTTCACAACATAACCAACACATTTACTTGCAAGTACCCGATGCTTATCAAGAGAATGTGTTGCGGGAATGTGTTGACTGAGTTTAGTTTTACGTCGCTTTTAGCAATATTCCAGCAACATCACGGCGGGGGACACCTGAAATGGGCTTCACACATAGTACCCATGTGGGGATTCGAACCCGGGTCTTCAGCGTGACGAGTGGACGCTTTAACCACTAGGCTACCCCACCGCCCCTTTAATAACAGATCACCTGACTAACACTTAGTCTCAAATATTAACTTTAGATATATATCCCTCACCAAAACCCAAATGGATCTCTAAACAACGCAGGGTTTCAGAGCTTCCAAAGAAGTTTACACTGGAACAGGATTACTTTTTACTCTCGGAGGTGTGGGAAACAGGCTACTGGAATTCTATAAGTATGGCCAAACGTACAAGTAGGATTGAAGAATCCATTTATAAATTGCTCATCATAATTTGATCAAATTCAGTTCCACGTGGTCACAATATGGTGACATTTTAACTTTGGTTTTCACGATCATGTTTAGATGGAAGCGGAGTGACAACGTCCCATCGATTTGATTCATTTCCCCTGCCAGAAAATATGAAACACGCTTTTAAGACGAAAAATACTATTTTCGTATGTTTGATCTGGCAAAAACTAATTTCCAAAATGGCATTTGTGAGGATGCAATATGAAACTATTTGGGGATTAAAGATACAATCACAGTTGGTTAAAAGTACTTCCATCAACGTCGATGAAATTCATTTTTTTCTATTAAGGTTACACAGCATAAATACAGATTTAATCAGGTAATATGACATGAGCTAGATTTCAGCTGTGTAAATCGCATTAGGGAAACAGATATGGCTGTGTGGAGCATGAAGGAAAACCAGTCATCATAACCCTAATCCTAGTTATCATCATCATCGCACTCGTTGTCATCGTTATTATCATCACTGAACTTTTGAGAAGCAAACAAAAGGGGTCAAATGATGAATAATATGACAATATCATAGATTGAATTCTTTGTGAAAAGCGTGAGATGGAAAACATGGGTCTTCAGCTCGGGTATAAACTAACCGAGATAAAGGGGTTTATCACAGGTGTTACGTCCTGTATAATATATACGAATAGGGAAAACCTGATTGATCTATTCCTTTCGTAGTTAGCAATTCAATGCTGTGATACTAAATGAACAGGTCACTTGACTGTGGAAGTGTTGACATGCTGCAGGTCACTTGACTGTGGAAGTGTTGACATGCTGCAGGTCACTTGACTGTGGAAGTGTTGACACATGCTGCAGGTCACTTGACTGTGGAAGTGTTGACACATGCTGCAGGTCACTTGACAGTGGAAGTGTTGACACATGGTGCAGGTCACTTGACTGTGGAAGTGTTGACATGCTGCAGGTCACTTGACTGTGGAAGTGTTGACATGGTGCAGGTCACTTGACTGTGGAAGTGTTGACATGGTGCAGGTCACTTGACTGTGGAAGTGTTGACATGCTGCAGGTCATTTGACTGTGGAAGTGTTGACGTGCTGCAGGTCACTTGACTGTGGAAGTGTTGACGTGCTGCGTGTTGAAGTGTTGACATGCTGCAGGTCACTTGACTGTGGAAGTGTTGACATGGCTGCAGGTCTTGACTGGAAGTGTTGACACATGCTGCAGGTCACTTGACTGTGGAAGTGTTGACGTGGTGCAGGTCACTTGACTGTGGAAGTGTTGACATGGTGCAGGTCACTTGACTGTGGAAGTGTTGACATGGTGCAGGTCACTTGACTGTGGAAGTGTTGACGTGCTGCAGGTCACTTGACTGTGGAAGTGTTGACGTGCTGCAGGTCACTTGACTGTGGAAGTGTTGACGTGCTGCAGGTCACTTGACTGTGGAAGTGTTGACACATGCTGCAGGTCACTTGACTGTGGAAGTGTTGACACATGCTGCAGGTCACTTGACTGTGGAAGTGTTGACACATGCTGCAGGTCACTTGACTGTGGAAGTGTTGACATGCTGCAGGTCACTCGACTGTGGAAGTGTTGACGTGCTGCAGGTCACTTGACTGTGGAAGTGTTGACATGCTGCAGGTCACTTGACTGTGGAAGTGTTGACACATGCTGCAGGTCACTTGACTGTGGAAGTGTTGACACATGCTGCAGGTCACACTTGACTGTGGAAGTGTTGACACATGCTGCAGGTCACTTGACTGTGGAAGTGTTGACACATGCTGCAGGTCACTTGACTGTGGAAGTGTTGACGTGCTGCAGGTCACTTGACTGTGGAAGTGTTGACACATGCTGCAGGTCACTTGACTGTGGAAGTGTTGACACATGCTGCAGGTCACTTGACTGTGGAAGTGTTGACACATGCTGCAGGTCACTTGACTGTGGAAGTGTTGACACATGCTGCAGGTCACTCGACTGTGGAAGTGTTGACATACTGCAGGTCACTTGACTGTGGAAGTGTTGACACATACTGCAGGTCACTTGACTATGGAAGTGTTGACACATGCTGCAGGTCACTTGACTGTGGAAGTGTTGACACATGCTGCAGGTCACTTGACTGTGGAAGTGTTGACACATACTGCAGGTCACTTGACTGTGGAAGTGTTGACACATGCTGCAGGTCACTTGACTGTGGAAGTGTTGACACATGCTGCAGGTCACTTGACTGTGGAAGTATTGACACATGCTGCAGGTCACTTGACTATGGAAGTGTTGACATGCTGCAGGTCACTTGACTGTGGAAGTGTTGAGAAATGCTGCAGTATGGGAGGTTTCATTACCTGTCTGGAGACAACATCACATTAATGAGTTTTTTTCAAGTTGCATAGCCTTGGCTGTTGGTTCAATTTATGAAAGTTCGATACACTATATGATTTATAGTCTTATAAACATTCATAAATGGTAAATATTTAATCTGTTTATTTATTGCCCGAGTAGTCGTTACAATCTGACTGTACCGACTGTATTGATTTTTTATTACATCTACCTATATATTTGAACACACTTATTTCCAAAAATCATGCTTGATGAAATGTTCATAATTAGTCTGCGATTCTGAGATTCAAACATTCCCAAATTCTTAAGATGTAATGTTCCGACTATCAACGTGAATATTGGTTTATGAATCACTACCAACCAATGATTTACGCCATGTTTCCGAAAAAGTAAGCCACCCTACCGTTCAGTTAGCACTCATCACAAATGCGTGCAAAGGCAAGTTAATTGTTTAACGTAACAGAAACGAATACAAACGGTACAAGTCAAAGCCGAAATTTTTTTTATGTCAAATGGTGAAATCTGCACCACATGTCTTCCGTAAAATGTTTTGAGGCCTTGACAGTCGTAACCTTGATAGAGCAGCTTTTGTATGTCTTGTATGTCAACCTAAGATCTTTGAATGGAAAGTTTTCAACTGTTTTCATTTGATGTAGAACCTCTGATTACAGAAGGAGAGCTGATATCGATGCTTCTCTGGTATCAATGAACGAACTGAATGGTATGGTAATATATCATCTCTTGCGATTTATTCAACTCCTCTTCAGCGTTATCACACACCTGCTTTTAAAGCTTTCAGCTATGAGGAGACGGCCAGTACAAAATGTACATATTTTTTGAGTAATTGAGTCGGGTTTTACACGGTTATTAGCAATATTCCAGAAATATGAAGGCGTGTGAGCTTCACACATTGTACCATTGTGGGGAATCGAACCCGGGTTGACGAGCGAACGCTTTAATCACTCGACTACCCCACCGCCCATACATTTCTGTGCCATATCAAGCTATATGTACGTAGTGTCCTAAACAACGAACCTAAAACGTTTGTCGGAAACAAGACAGTTTTTCATCTGCTTGAGTAAACAAAATTATGAAACCGTTATTCTTACGTTCTGATGTCGAGAGAGCTCCATGGATATAATACCTGAAGTTTCTTGTGCCCCCATCGTGATATTGCCAGAATATTCCAAAGCGCCGTAAAACCATACCCACTCACTCTAATCGCTAGAGACGTTTCTTTCACACACAAACGTGAGACAGCTCGCCACTGTTTGCCATTCAACACCATGCACAAATTAATTCTTTGCTAGTGTCATAAAACCTTAGAAAACGAGATTTTGGCCACCACCAGTCCCTCATTCACGTACAAACGAGCTCAGTCAAGTTCACATAAAGCCATCGTCTTGACCGAGGGGAAGTGTACTGGGACAATATGTCTTCATAATCTCATCTCCCATGCCAGACTGCCAGACTGAAGGATTGCCCTATTACGGAAGTTCCGTATGACATAACGTTTAAGTTAAAACTACTGAGGAAGTATTGCATATTAATTTGGTATGAGCATTATATGTATATTCTATGAATACCAGATCGATTCATTGTCGTCATGTCAAGCAACGAGGTGCTGTAATTGGTCCCATGGGAAGCATTGTATTAACCGTTATCGCCCCTGGCTATCAGGAATCTGTGCAACGTCTCCGACGGTGATGAAATTACCCAGGCGCCATGGGAAAGTACAGACATCAAGATGTCTGTCGACTTAATTGACTTTGACTTCAATTCCAATATATCGCAGATATGTTGATACTCATTTAATTAGTGAAAATCGATAAGGAATCATGAAATATGCAGTTTACCGTTATTATTGGACGTTTTTGTGAACTTTGTACACGTACAACCAGAAATTATTGAGAATTTAAGATTGTAATATTTTTTTTCACTCATTACTCACGTATTAAATGTTAATATTAGCAGAACATAACTCCAGATTCAAAGACAGGTGAACAGTTAGTATTTTGTCAAGTCACCATGGGCAGCAATGCAGGCTTAAATGCGGCGGGGCATTCTACTGATCAAAGA